CAACTAAACTGAAAATAAAATACATTATGGCTTACTGTAATGTGTGAAACAGGGATTCTAGACACCCCTTACTGGTTCACAGTAGCATACTTTTAAAATATTAGTTCAAGGTCAGAGAATTCACAGTTATCCTTGTGTTTCCTTGTGTTCACAGTTATCCTTGTGTTTCCTCCAGGACAAAATTCCCTCACGGCCATGTCACTGCTCTAAGCATGTAAGAGATGCTGGGGAAAACCAGGGGTTTCCCATTTCCTGACAGTTAGAACAATTAATCAGTGGAACAACTTGCCTCCAGAAGTTGTAAATGCTCCAACACTGGAAGTTTTTAAGAAGTGATTGGACAACCATTTGTCTGACGTGAGGTAGGGTATCCTGCCTAAGCAGGGGGTTGGACTAGAAGACCTCTAAGGTCCCTTTCATTTCTATTTCTATTTCCAATTCCAATTCAAATTCCTGCCCTAAATCCTGAGTTCTGTGAATTCTGTTTTATTTCATGCAGATGATCCCACTGATTTCAATGTAGCCATTCTCCTGTTCATATGATTGTTCAATCTCATGTTTTAGTCTTTGAAAGATTAAACCCATCACTTATTATCTGTCTTGAAGATAATACATTACTTTCTTTGAAAATAATTTCAAATGCATTTTCTCTCGTTTCTGTCCATATATAATTTCTCAAGAACTTAAATAATAACAATAATACATTCAAAATTCCAATATTATACCAAACTTATCCTTTCAACTTTTCAGAATAGTAAGTACTTGTTTATGGAGTTTGTGTGTGGCATAACAATGTATTTTTGTCAGTAGGCAGGATGTAATATATGTATTAGGGGAGTTCAAATGAATTTCTTTTATATACTCTATTGTAGGAAACCATGTGATTGCTTTCCTGTTGCATTCTTGTAACGTTTTTCCTACTCTTGCTGAAGTAACACCTTTCCTCCTTCCTTTCCCAAAGAGGCAAATAACTTTACAACTGCCCACTTCCTTTTAATGAACAGAGTTTTCTTTTGAATTTATCACAGGTCATTAATTTGCTCTTTTTTAAAAAAATCAATGAAAGCAGCCCCTTGTCTAACTCCTGCTGCCTTTTTTTCTTCCAGAATACAACAGGCATAACTTCAACTGTTCCAATTATATATCTTGTGTGAAACATACCATCTATTTCTGTTAGTATTAAAACAGCTGGGGATTTTTGGTAGACCTCTTCTTTATTCCTCTCCTGCCAGTTATTTCCCATTCAGGAACAGTGGATTAGAACATGAAGTACATCTCTTTAATCATTAGGGAAAAAAAATAAACATTTTTTTTTATGATGGAAAGCATGAGCAACATATGTGGACATTAGGTTCTTTTTACACATGGTTCAGATCTTCTTTGATTTGTTGCATAAAACAATGGAACCAACTATCTTCTATTATATTTCCTTCCCCGCCCTTCATGTTTCAGTTTTTACTGGCAGGATGTTCTCCCCTCAAGAGCCTATATTAAGCTATTTTGGAAGAGATTTTCATAAATAGAAAACATTAAAGAATAATGATCTGTATGCTACTTCCTTAATCCTTACCCAGAAGACTCTGACTTTTGATTTTAAGCTTTCCTAGGAGCAATCAATGCGCCAATGAAAAATATTCTATATTTCTTTTAGAGAAATATCACTTGAAAAGCATCCCTCATTCATGTTTGCATGTCTGTGGGGGTATGTATATTTGTATGTGTATACACACGCCCGCTTAGTTAATTCTTTTAAAACATTGTAATGATTTATAGATCTATATTTTCCTGATTCATTGTCAGATTGTGGTAACCAGCAGGATTCTTTTGTACTATAAAACGTATTTTAATATCACTGTACAAAGGCCACAGTGCTTTCACAAGGACAAATAATAACATAAAAGGTTAATAGTTGGAGAGAGAATGTTGGCATTTTTATTTAATTTATGTAAATATTTAACTTTGGTTATGAAATACTTGGCTTAGTTACTTCAATTTAACAGAACTTATATAGTATTTGTCGTTAGTTTCAAGGTATGTTTAAAATTACCAAAAGTCCATTTTACTCTTACAAAGTTGGGTATAACCAAATATTAGTTTCTGCTAACAATATTTAAACTGGTGATTAATTTGGCATAGGGCTGGAGCTTTTCAAATACAATTATAAATATCCACTCATTTCCCCCAGCAAAAAAGATGGATTGATTTATAAAACCATGAGTACATATGAAAAACAGTAATGCCAGACCCACAACTCAATTACTTAATCCTACAGATTTTCACTTCTTTTTTGAATGAAACTTTTCCAAAACAATATTCTGTGCAAAACAATGAACACTACAAACATATTTTCCTTTGTAAAAACCCAAGCTTTTCAGTAAAACTTTCTGATAATATCCAAATGCATTTCTTAGATCTGAAATCCTTACTGTATTTGGGTTACATGGGAGTGGGAAATTGTTTTCCCAGTATGTTCATACCCCAAGGGGACTCCCCCAAGGAGACCCCACCCCATTCACCCCAATACCCAAGTCCTTTCCATTTCTCTGAAAGACCAGAAGCCAGGGAAAACAATTCATGGGAGATGAAACTCCCACTTTCACTAATGTAAAATCACAGCCGAGCCATTTAATAAAAAAACCCTCTCAATTAAAAACTCTTCATACTGACATAACACACAAACACAACCTAGAGTCTACCCAACAGCACCATCTTCTGCCCTCAGAATCAATTTCGTCTCCTACTGGCTTAAGATAGTTGTTGGTATGTTGGACAGATTTCTTTGAAAGAATCTAGGTAGCTTTGGAAAAAAGTGAGGGCAGTTAGAATTGCACTTTCCCCCAGTGCATTGGTAACTTGCTTCTATTAATCCTTTCTTCCATTAGACTTTTGGTGCAGCCCAATACTTTATTAAGGAAGGGGTGGGGGGGGAAAATCACAACTCTGCCCCCCCCCAATTCTTTAGTATATTCTGTTCTCTTGTGGGATCCAACTGAGAAGGAACCTATGAGGTTCAGGGATGAACAGGAAAGCATTTTGTTTTTATTTTGTTTTGTTTTCTGTTCTGGATTTCCTGTTCACTAGTGTCCAATGAGGGGTTTGACCAATTGTTCCAGGGGTCATGGAAGGTCACTTTGCATATGTTTAAAGACACACCCTTTATTATTACTCGAAATGATGTTCCAAAAATCAATCCAGTGACTGAGTAGATAGGTTGTTTCTTGTATCCCTGATAAACTTCTATTTCTGTTAAACCAATCTTAAAGTGGTGAAATGCAAGGTGCATTTGTACAGATAATACATACAGATATTAACACACACACATACACACACACACAGACGGACCCCTCCCTCTCTCCCTTTGCGTTTAGATCAGCCTGCCCTGTCTACTGAATATTCACACAAACTAAACAAGGAAATTCCTTTCCCAGAGGCCCACTTTGTAATTGTTGCTTTCTCCGCCATCTCCTCCTTTAGATCTTTCTCACAACTGTCCTCTTTCCCCAACCCCATTACCTGAGCACCGAATGTCTCTTCTGTGATCTTCGTTTCCATTCTTTGTCCAATGGAAGGATCTCTCCTAATCGCCCTCAACCACACCTCCTTCACACTGTTCGCCTCTCCACTCCCCCCCCCGCCTCCTAAGTTACCCTTCCCACACCACTCGGAGGGATCCTGGGGCCGCCGAGCCGCCCAGATAACTCTTCTGCTTCCAGAGCCGGAGCTGCGAAGTCCTCCGCTATGGGACTTCGGGGAGGGGAAGGGGGGGGAGGGCTGGGAGAAAAAACGGCGGCGGCGGTAAAGGAGATGCGAAGGAAACGCGAGCCCCGCCTCATATCCAGTCTCCGCTTCCCAAGGCAGGAAGTAAGCCAACATGTGGCCCAATAACCCAATTAACTCTCCCTTCAGCGGAGTTCGCGGAGCGTCTGCTTGTGTGCGTGTGACAAACAGGAGCCCAGTCGGGCGACCCGCCTTTTGCCCCAGGAACAGCAGCCGAGGGAAGGTAGGGGTGGCAGCAAGAAGAGCCTTCCACCGCGCGAGAGCTGACAGGCGCTGAGCTACCAGCCGTTCCCTTCCCTGACACATCCACTTAAGACCCCACTTCCATTCCCTTTGCCTCAGATTAGCCCTTTAGGTCTCCCGAGAGAAGTAGAGTGACAGCCCCTGGCACGCACACACACACCCCGCTCCCCTTAGGAAGAGGGTAGAGGAGCTTGCGCCAACCCCAAGCTCCTGCCTTGCAAACAAAGCCAGAGGCAGGCGGGCGGGCGGCGGCGGCGGCAGCGTCAGTCGACACCAGCACCCCAGAGACCAGGGTGGGCACTAAACAGAACGTCCAAGAAAGCGGAGAGGCGTTGGCTCAGACGAGAAGAGCCCCCAAGTTCCCCGCCTTCAGAAAAAGCAAGGCAACCTGCCCCGCAGCCGCCTTCTCCTGTCCACATTGTCTCGGAAACAAAGACTCCACGCCCAGCTAAACCCCCCAAGGAAACCTCGTGTCAAGGGATGGGCAGCGCCGGGCAGAAAGGCGACGGCGGCGCTTCCCACTCGGGAGCGCATTATGCGCGCTTGCCGCCGTTTCGGCGGAGCAGCCGCCCCCTCCGCGGCGCCCGGGCGGCCAGCGGGGCAAAGTAGCCTCAAGCTGGAAAACAATATAGAGGGACTTCGGCGGGAGGGGGAAGGGAGAACGATCCCCGAGCAATACCGCAGCGCTGGCAGTTCGGGCAAAGAAAGAGCGTAGCAACCGTTCTCTTCTTCCATCCCACCGGCAACATAATCTTTAAAAAAGGGAGCCCAGCACGAGGGCCGCTGGGACAAGTGGCCTCGACATACAGCCTCGCCTCCCTGGATAAACCGCCGCCGCCGCCGCCACTTGCTCCTCATTCTGCTGCAGCCTTGCAGGACTTCGCAAAGCTCCTCTCCGCGCAACCTTCCTCGACTCCCGAACAATGCCCCGCGTGGATCCCTAGACGCAGACAAACGGCGCGGAAGAAGAGTTCACCTACCTCGTCGGTGCATGTATTTGGAGCCTTAAGAAGACTAGCTGATGGAGCGTCCCATTTAGTAATCCAGTTAAGGGGATCGCTCAGCGAAACTCGATCCACTCTCGCCTTTGCAATCCTTTGTCATTATTAGGCGGGGGGGCTTCTTGGGGAAACGGAGAGGGGGGAGAGGAGCTTAGGACCCGAACTAGTTTGGGGAAGGCGAACGCGATGTGTTCATCTCTACCGGAGGGGGGGAGGGGGGAAGGGTAGGTGTGGGGAGAAGATACGGGCTCTTCGATTACTCCTCGTCCAAATGCCACTCGGGTTTCCACTCCAGTAAGTCCCCGTCCGACGGATCTGGGAAGTCCTCTCGTTGTCTTCTTCTGCCCTTCCCCAAAAGTGATCCCGGCTGGCGAGATCGCTTTGTGGAAACTCCTCCAAGGGAAGTAGCCTCGCTTGTGCGCCGGCAGGAAAGTGCGCTTTTCCCAAGCTCTCCTGGTCATTGAAATGTGTTTGGGGATGACTTCGGAGCAGCGCCTCTCTCTCTCTCTGTCTCTTTCGATCTTCTCTGCCCTGCCTCTTCTCCCTGCCAGACTCCGTCCCAACACTTTCTGTCACTGGAAAGCAGCTTGGCTGGAGGTGGAGTCAAATCCCGGGCTGGATTCCGTGGAAACGGACCGGCCCAATAATTATTTCCACCTACACCCACTTCTGCGCATGAATGAGTGTATGCCGATTGGGCGACAGAGTGGGTTAGTTGTGGTGCGTGGGTGGGAGGTATGTGTGAGCTGTGGGCACTGTCAGATCTCTTTCAGAATTAGTTCACCCTCCCCACCACCGCCGCCGCCGTCGCACATGCGAAACAGAAACGAAAGGGTGATAAATTGCTAACCTTTCTATCCCACGCTCTTGGAATAAGTTTGTTTAATTGAAAATTTAAACCTCTGGGTTTTTAGAGAACGGTTTTATTTTAAATCGAATTAAACAACTGTAAAGAAGAGTTTGAATGAAAAAAAGAAAAGAAAATGTTTCCAAACATACTGTACCGAAGATTGATGAAATCATCCGAAAGAACAAAGCGAAGGAGGCACGTGTAGAATTAAAACAATGACAATCGCATCGTAGTTATTTAATAGATGACTAACGCCTCTGCAATTTTATATACTTGTAAGCATCCCACGCATGCACATGAACTGGTATTTCTTTGCCTGCCATAGATAACTTACCAGTATGGGAGTGCAAGACTTCACGATATAAGGATCTCTTCTGGAATTATATTACTTTGGCTGACCATTTCGCATTCATCCCGACCAAGAGCTTTTGAGCTCAGAAGCATCCCTGGGACATCGGTGCGTGCGTGTGCGCGCGCACTATTGAAAGGCGTGCAAGATAAAGTGCACAGCCATTGTTCTTTTAAATAAATAAAAAAAAAAACTATTGACAAGGAAGAAGCACTACTTGTCCCAAGATAATCTTAGAAAACTGGTCCATAGCCGTTAAAAATTAACTTTCTTCCCTTATCTGACCACGCCGTAGTGACTCAACTTCTTGCTGTATCAAACTTTTAGCGGCTCAACGCGATAGCGTGTCAACAAAGCAGTAAAAAAAAGCAAAAACCCAGAGGGTTGTCAATTGGGTCTGTGAAGGAGTTCGCCGAGAGAAAAGCCGTCGAAAAAAGATCTACCCGGTCCTGATGAAATAAAACGAAAGGGGGGGGGTAGACAGAACTGCCGGGCCCTGTTCCTGCCCAGCGAAGGATCAGCGGACGACAAAACTCCAACTGAAGCCGCTGAAAAACTCGAGATGCAGTAAAGGCAGGCCAAAACTTTCCGTCGCAACCTCTTCCCGTCCGGCCACGCGCAACTCCAAACTATCAGAGCTCATCAGCGCGCAGCACCCACTCGTGTATTTTCATCCTACGTAACCACGACAGTCCTACCGCCAAGGGAGAGAAATAGTAATTTTTGCCTCTTGCAATTCGCCGCTTTTGCCAGAAGGGGACGCTACGCCAGTGATGCTTTAATAATCAATTCGACAAAAGTTTGGCGCTTTACAATGAATGGTCCAACTCTTGACCGAAGCCTTTAGTGCGAACGCGAAAACGTGCTGCTCTGCTCCCAGGACGTCTTCCCTCCCTCCCTCCCCGCCCAAGGAACAGGATGGGCTCATCACGTAACGAGGAGCCGATGTGCCGGAGCGAGACCGTCCTTTGGCTTAAGTTCTCGGTCTCAGCCGACACTCCTGGCGATGCTGACCAGCGCCGGGTGTGCATTGCCCTAGCAGGCAAATGACAGCGCTGGTCGACGTGCCAGTCCTACCGGCTATACGCAAGACAGTTGCGTGCGTGGAGAATGCTAATCAAACGCGTCCCGGAATGGCCATCACGTCGCAATCTTTTCATGGGCATCTCTGCCATATCTGTCTGGACCTTCCCACGCCTTTCTTCCCACTCCACCCCACATCCCTCCCCACCGTATACACCAACTCGCAGTCTAAAAGCTACTGGCTGGGTTAATCCGTCTTTGCCTCGGAGCCAATCAGCCCAGCGAACAGCAGGAACAGCAGCCGCAGCAGTAATAAATTAATCCCTTCAGCATCCCAGCCCCTCCCGCCAAGGAAACCGACCGGCTGCCGCTTATCTGAAGCTGCTCCTTCGGAAAGTCGTATCGCCTGCGCCCCTAGCGGCCAAGGAGGCTCAACGCAAAAGGAAAGATGCCACCTTGCCCCGCTTCCCATTCTTGTTTTTCCCGTTTCCTTCCAACGTGCCCCTCACTCAGCGGCTGATTTACATGTTAATTGTGTCTGAGAAAACTTATTTAATTGCCAGAATTAAGCAGAGCAAACGGATTGCTTCACGAGCGAAGCCAAATTAATTCTGGGTTTAGCTCCTTCCCTTAGAGAAACAAACAATTAAGCTGTCTTGTTTGCTTTCTATGGCTACATTTGCATGTCAGACGCATTGACGTTTTCAAAGTTAGACGGGCCTGTTCTTCTCTGCCCCTTCTTGTTCTAATTTGAACCTCACCTTTCCGTCCTTGTTCGCAGAGGCATCCGGTTGAACTGAAGAAGCTGCCAAGTTTAAACATACAGATCCATCAGTAGATTCCAACAACTGCTTTTGAAATTCAAGTTTTAAATTAAAAATAAAAAAATAGAAAATCATTCATGTGCAGCAGCATGCAGTCATGACCATCAGACTCTAATCATGTGTTAAAAGTATACGGTTAATCTTTACAAGTGGTGAGGCAAACTTGAGAAAGGGTTTGGTGGGAGACACTGAATTCTGGTTCCTCTGAGGTTTGAATGTAACAGTAACAGAGTTGGAAGGGACCTTGGAGGTCATCTAGTCCAACCCCCTGCTCACGCAGGAGACCTATACTAGGGATTCAAACTGCCAAACTGCTGATCTTTCTGATCGACAAGTTCAGCATCTTAGCCACTGAGCCACGATTTTCCTGGATGACTGGATGACTTTGGACAGGTCATTTTCTCTCAGCCAATTCACCTCACAGAGTTATTATGAGGAAAATAGGAGGAAAGAGTATTAAGTACGTTTGCTGCCTTGAGTTATTTATGAACATAATAAAGGTAGGATAAAAAATTTATTTAAAAAGTTTGAGAAGAGTTTCAAGACCTATAAATAAGACAGTGCAGTGCTTTGTTATTTTCTTTATTTCTTTCACAGAGTGCCTAATGATATCTATGATTTGTTCACTTCATGCAATACATTCAACTTTCTATCTGGTTGACATGTGTGCAAGTGCCACCAGCAGCAAACCCTGAGGATGCCAAAATGATATTTTCACAAATGACATGGAACTGGAAAGGTGTTTAGATGGCTCCTCTATTGAGCCTGGATGCACTCATTCTCTCTCTGTTTGTGGCTTCTAAATTTTTTATTTTTCTGTTTATTTCAATATTGCTTTTTATATTTTTAATATTTGTTTTGCTTTAAGTATATGCATTGTTTTTATTGATTGTTATATACTACTCAGAGTAACTTCTTATGAGATGGGTGGCTACGTAAATTTGATTAATAAATAAAATCTGCACAATGACATCATCATGCCAATAGCACTTAGCCTTATATACCGCTTCACAGTGCTTTACAGCCCTCTCTAAATGGTTTACAGAGTCAGCATATTGCCCACAACAATTTGGGTCATCATTTTACCCACCTCAGAAGGATGGAAGGCTGAGTCAACCTTGAGCCTGGTGAGACTTGAACTGCCAAATTGCAGGCAGCTGGCAGGCAGCAGAAGTAGCCTGCAGTATTGCACTCTAACCACTGCACCACCGCAGCCCAATGATATAATTACACACTTCCACATCTGATGCAGGTACATGAATCATTCCTTATAGGGGATGATATCATTAAGGATGACATCACACCTCCCATGGATGACCATGGCCACCACTCTTTTATCTCTGGCCTTGACCTGCTTTGTCATTTCTAAGGTTAAGCCTGTTATCTGATTTTGGATCATCCCGACCACACTGAGCAAGACCATTAACTGAAATTTGACATTGACAAATAATCAGGCTTCAAATAGAGAAACAGATCCATCAGTAGATTCCAACAATCACTTTTGAAATTAAAGTTCTAAATTAAAAAAATAGAAAACCATTCATGTGTAGTAGCATGCAATTATGGCCACCAAACTCTAATCATGTGTTAAAGTTAAACATGCTTAACCTTAGAAAGGTTTTGGGGGAGAAATTATGCATTCACATGAACCAGATGCAGTAGTTCAACATGGTGTAAAAAAACAAAAACATTTTACCTTTCACAATTCTATCTTCAATGTAATCCTGTGAAACAGGTTAGTCAAAGGAAGACAACTATCTGAAGGAAGATCTGGTGTCAGGACTGCATGCAAATTGTGTACTTATTGCTTTATATACATAATTTTTGTCTCACAATTATTCTAGATGATGTATCATATTCTTATTAATAAAGGAATAGAATAATATATAGCATGGCATATATTGTAATATCAACTACCAGTAGTAAAACAATTCTGGTGTTTGTGAATCTAGGCTGACCAATATCAAAATCAATGGTAATGTAAATAAATCAGTAAATCTATTAAATTTAAACAGAGCAAACCACTAATAACCAATGTAGCTTAATTCATCTGAAGCTGTGTGAGAAAGTTACTTGGAAGTCCCTTCCACACACAGGAACAGCACAGAATTCTCCCCTTCTAGACTTTTTGTGTAAAACAGAAAAGTTTTACTTATGATTTATGTTTTTGCTGATTAGATGGTTAGATTAGAGAAAGGAGAGCGCTGTGTTGTAACCATAGCAAGAGTAAGAGGTAAATTTATAACTACATAAAGGTGTAGTTATAAAGCATGTTCATAAAGTACATGCTGTAAAGATGATAAGCTACTTCTCTGTATCTTTTTTCATTCTTTTCTATTTTTGTTCCCCCCCTTTTGCACTCTTAGCCTTTTGTTCTATTTCTTTTTCTCTTTCTCTTTTTCTTATACTGTGTTCATTTGTATTCGTTTTTATCTTCCTTTAAAATAATGTTTAATAAAAATTATTTAAAACAAAAACGAAAAAGTAAGGGGCAGAACTGGTTCTGAATCTGAAGTACCCTTTTGGTTCCCATGATGCTGTAGGGCTTTTGGCAGCCTTGACATGTTGAGTCAATTAACTTTAATCAGTTCAGCTACTGCTCCATAAAAAAAAAAAAATCAGAGAGGACAGATTTGCTGCATTTCCTCTGAAGCTGAGATTCAGGGAGGTAGTTCCCCTTTGGCAGAAGCCCACAATCTTTCCTGACTCCTGAGGTTTCTTCTAAGATCCTGACACAAGAGCATTGTGGCTTCTTTCTGCCTTCCTTCTGCTGCTTTCTAGCAACCCAGAGGGGTGGCTTTGCTGTATCCCCTACCCAGGACCATATTTTAATATTTTTCCCAGTGGAAAAGAACGAGCAGAGGGAAGAACAAGGAAAGGGTCAGGATCCAACTTTTGAACCCCACATGGCTGCGTAAGATCAAGGAAGCAACAACCTCACCAAATTTAGAAAAAGTATCTTTAACTTTGGTACAGTCTGGATAAAGGAATTTCCAACCTTCATTTATAGCGAGTTAATTAAGACAAAGTCTAGCTAACCACCATTTTTGCGCATCATCTATTGGCTACTTAGAAAGAATACTAGTCAATTTGGGGGAGAGTGAAGAATCT